CTATTTTCTGGCTCTTTCTGGGTCAGCAGTTCCGTCTCTCTTAGTTCTTTGTTCAGTGTATTAAGTTTTTCCCTGTGCATTTTGTTTCTTCTTATTATATAGGCTATGGAAATTCCCCTCACAACTGCCTTCATCGTGTCCCAAACATTTTGTATTGAGGTCTGCTCTTTACCGTTTTCTTTAAAGAAGTAGCCCAATTCCTTTTCTATTTGTTGTACAAATTGTTTCTCTTGTAGTATGTTCTGGTTTAATGTCCACCTAGCTTTTATCCTTGCCTTCCCTTTCCATTGCCATAAGACTGGGTGATGATCAGCCCACTTGTTGGTTGTTATTTCAATATTAACAGTATCCATGAGTAGCTCCGAGTTTGACCAAACCATGTGGATGAGTAAAACTCCCATCCACATAGTTTCCTTTTCATAAGAAAAAAATATTTAATTTGGTAAGGATAAGGAATGGCTAACTTATGATAAGTGGCTTATTTTCAACCAACGAAATGTGAGGCTATTCAAAGGTTGTCAATTAACCTAGAAAAAAATGACACACTATTAGAATTGTGCTTCAAATGATATTATCAATAATACTATATATCAAAAATAATCTTACCCCAAGTGGGTGTGTTCCCTTTTGGAGTTTGTTATAGGGGCTGTATTTGGGTTTTGGAGGTTTTCCAGCAGCTCTGTCTTTGTGCCTTCTACTGCTTATGTGCTGTTTCAAAGCAAACACTCTTTGTTACTACTATTCTTCAAATGACACAATTTACTGACTTTAACGCAATATTTTTTGCCGACCTGAATAATTTGGTTTGTCCTGTTAAAAACCATGCAGAATCATAAATCTTTTTATCTATTTTTTTTTTTTTGCCATAAATAAAAATCTGGTTCAAATACACCTGAAAAACAGTTCAATAGATTTTATCATAAATCTATTCATCTATTTTTCTGGTTGCTCTGAAATGATGAACACATAGGTTATATGCCATATCAATTAACAAGGTCTGGTTTTGTAAATAGCTTAAATGGAAAACTATTTGGAAACTCAGAATGAACTCATTGATAAATAATCTCACCAGACTAATACAGGTATTCTTAATTTATGTCTATGGAGATTCTCAGTCAGGTACTCCTAACTTAATGACCACAATTGGGACTGGCAGCTCTGTTGTTAAGCAAAGTAATTTCTAAATGGGAAATCACATGACTACTACTATACTTTCCTTTTCCCACCCACCCGCCTCCCCTCTGGAGTAATCACCACAGGATTAGGGTAGCTGTTTGCTTGCCTGTAACTGATTTTCACATATTCCACTTTTGTTTGTCTCCTTCCCTTTTTTTCTGGCTGCCTGATCATTGGAATAATTAGAATAAATGGAATTAATAAATTAATTTCTATTTGCATTTATTACTGAGTAGAGATTATAAAAGAGTAAGTGGAAACAAAATGGGGAACACAATCAAAAGCAATCCATTGGCACTGGTAGCCATGAATAGGCTATGCAAACAGCACAGTATATTTTGTGAACTGTTGTACCAGGAATAAATCCTGAAGTATCACAATCTTCAACATCAATAAAAAATAGATCAGTTTAAAAAATGGGGATTTTTTTCAAGATGGGTTTATATAATGATGGGAGGTATTTTATAATAATAACTTTAATGAAGAATACATTATTTTAGCAATATAGAATACTCTTTCCACAGAACAAATTAAAATGTCCTCTTTTTGTTCAGTTGTTAAAGACTCAAGAGCCTATTTCCCTTAGGTTAGGTTGATTTCTGCTTCCTATCAGAAACCCTTATGTAGCACAAACTGCCTTGATTTCTTAACTGCTAAATTTCACCTATGTGAATAAATAACACTTGCCTTGAATTCTTCCCTATGGCACTTGCATCTGTATGACAAACAACTTATCTGTAGCACCTCATCCCACAGAGAAACATCCTACCAGTTTAGAACAACAAACCAACAAACTGGAATCTATGTCAGTAGCATTTCATACTTATAAAGCTGAGACATACAAACAAACATTAGATCAGTATTGTCTTCTTTTGCTCTTTTTAACAACTAAATCTGTGCCCTGATATATGGGCAGGATCTGCCAGTAAACTGCATAAACATGTTTTAAGTTGTGTAGTAAACTGCTTTTGGAAAGCTTACTTTAAAAGGTGTTTCACTCATTTTAAACCAAATAAATATTCTATATACTATTCCCAGTGCATAAGTTAGTCTTCCCTCAAGATAAAGCACTCTCAGATTATACATACAATGTGATTACATATATGAGAACATTTATAAAAATAACATTGTGTGGTAAATAGGATTTCTAATTTTGAGGGGGAAGAGTATAGTTTACTCTTCCCCCTCAATTTGATACTTCTTGTCTAGAGAAGAATATGTTTATACAACAATTCATATTCATCAAAATATCAATTTTTCTGCAAAAGACACAGGGAAATTAAAATAACAGAACACAAGGGTACATTATGTCATTCTCAAATAATTTAAGTTGAAATAATTGTCAACATATGACAATTTAACAAAAATATAATTCAGCAAAACAAATGCATCATCACACACAAAACCATCACGAACCATATGGCATGGTTATGCAAACTGTTCAGAAACATGCCTTGTGGCTTTGGAAGTAATCCAGCAAATGTGCCGTCTGTTCAGAAGGGTGGAAAGGGATGTGTAATGTACATAAAGTTTTCTGAGATGTGATACCTTGCTGAATCAAGCAGCAGGTTTGGTTGAAATGTCCATCTCTCTAATTTGCATTACCCTATCATCCTGTTGGTAAGAAATCAAAGAATCATATGATTGATGCATACTATAATCTTTTAGCATATGGAGACATTGTTGGACTCAAATAGATATGTTACCTTTCATTTATATAGTTGAAAATACTATGGGCATCTGTATCAATCTCCTGGAATCACAATATTGTGCAGAAATTATAGCAAAACTGGAAAGCACCAGTCATTCTTGATAAATGGTAGATGATCATAATCCCATCAATGGCCCTCACAAACTCTTAAAATAGGTAGTTTTACTGATCCATACTTAAGAAACTTGAATTTCTGGAGCTTAGGAGTAACAAAAGAAATGTATTGCCAAAATTTAGTACCTGTTTAAGTTGTGTCTCAGAATTCACGTGCACATCACAAATTTCACAGTGAAATGTTTTGTTCTGAAGTCCTGTATTTCCTTTATTGATAGGTCCTTTTCCTTTGACCCCTGTCCTAGGAAAGGCTTTGATGTTTCCACTCCCATTACGAGCTTCCAGCATAGTTTTGTGCTTTGTGCCTAAAAATGTTAAACATATAAAAGAATCATCTTAGAAAATGTTTGAATAACTCCTTCATCTTCCTCTGGATTAACTTTCACCAACATGTGAAGACTTTAATTTCCAGGATTCTTTAGCACTATAGCCAGAACTGAGAATATTACAAAGTCCTCGTATTTAAAGAATTTAAAGGCTGTACATCAGGTTCTATCCCAGATATGTTTTATGCACCCATATGTATTCTACATATTGATTTGATGAATGATAATAATATTGATATTGTATATCCATATATTTAGCTATTAATGCTACCTAAGAAATTATAATTTCATAGAAAAACCTGGGAAGTTATTATTATTATTTCCATGCACTGGTGATACAATTTCAAATGTGCCCGAGTTCTATGCCACATATGACTAATGGGCTACAAGTTATTTATTTCACAAATTTTATGCTAAAGAAGCTGTCATAAGTATGTAGTAATGTGTGTGAGAATCCTCAATGAAGTTAAACGTAGAGTTTATTTTGATCACCAGCTGCAGTTAATTAAACATGTCCTCCCACAAAATGATAAAATCATTCGGACATTGGTTTGAATCATTGCCACATATTCTAATTGGATTATTAACAGTAATTTTGAAAACCTGCTGCTAGTAAAGGAATTGGCACTATCTTAAAAAACCTTTTTGACAGTGCGCATTCCATAGAGAGGAATGGAAACTAAATGGCAACAGAGCCAACCTTTTTAAAAAGAATGCATGGTTTACTTCTAGAAGTGTTTACCCGGGAAAATATTGCTTCTAAAAACTAAAGTATTTACAATAAACGTCTAGTTTATGGTTCCCAAAATGGGCAGTACTGCCCCTTGGGGGTGGTGGAATGACTTAGGGGGGTGCTAAGAGGCAAGGGGCGGCGGCAGGGGGCGCTAAGAGGCAAGGGAGTTGGCAGAGGAGTGCTGGAGGTGGCCTCTCTGGGCGCAAGACCTCTACTTGGAAAGACAGGGCCATAGAAGGGGATACAGTGTGTTGTGTGTAAATGACAAGCCCCAGAAATGCCATTCAGCCTCCAGCGAGAGCCTCATACCAGCAATAGGGAAGAAAATGGAGAAACGCACACCTATGGGTGCATTTAAAAGCAAAGCAGAGAAACCAACTCATTTCTTTCCCAAGGTTCCTTCCCCTCACTCGGGAGCTCCTCTCGAAATCCTTACCCACAAAGCAAGGGCTTTGCCTGGCTATTCTGTTTTGTGCCCCTCCTCCCTGATTTATTTATTTTTTAAAGACCCAGATTGAAAAAAAGCAATCCAGGGGCACCGTATGAGCCGAGCTTCCTTTGGCAAGTTGAGGTACCAAAGCCCGAGTGCATCGGCCTCCCATCTGCTTTGCAGCCCGGAAGTGGGAGAGTGGAAAGGCAGGTTCTTAAGCCCAGGAGGGAGGGCGGGAGGGAGGGAGCTGGGCTTCGGCCCAGGTCCCGCCGGTTTCATTAAGAGCGGAGCAGGCCAAAGGTGAGGTGTAGCAGGTTTGGAGGGAAGGCGTGCATGCAAAGAGGGCTGCAGGGAGACCTGGTGATGCAATGGCAGAGGCCTTCCTGCATGGCGACAGAGCTTTATTCTCCTCCAAAATCACATCTTCCCTCCTCTGCCCCTCTTCCCCCAAAACCTCTAACCCAGATTTTTCTGCCACTGCCCTTCCTGCCTCCGATGCTCGGGCTGCTCCATGACCCCAGTCCATGGCGAGAGAGAACAGTGCCCTGCCAATCATAAATACATCAGGGAATAGCAATAGCAATAGCAGTTAGACTTATATACCGCTTCATAGGGCTTTCAGCCCTCTCTAAGAGGTTTACAGAGTCAGCATATTGCCCCCACAATCTAGGTCCTCATTTTACCCACCTCGGAAGGATGGAAGGCTGAGTCAACCTTGAGCCGGTGAGATTTGAACTGCCGAACTAGCAGTCAGCTGAAGTGGCCTGCTCTAGGTGGCGCAGTGGGTAGAGTGCAGTACTGCAGGGAAATTGAGGAGGCGGGTAGGAAATACATGGGGGGGGGAATAGAATCCGTCATACCCGCAAGGGAGATTTGTGTGACAGTAAATGGAATGGTTTCATTGGAAGTTGGGAAGAAATGGGCCATTTCAATATTTAAGGTTTAAATCTAGAAATCAGGGGTTCTAATTTTGGGTACCACAAGTTCCCCCTGTGGCTTGTGCAGATAAAGAGAGGATCAGAGTCTTGAGCTCTTCCTCTGCCTGTAACCAGGTTTTTAAAAACGGAGATCCTCCGGATACCACATCCTGGAGTTCTGCCTACAGTTTGGGAAATAGCTGATTGCCCCTTCCTTTGAAAAGGCTTTTTTTTCTGGTATCACTTCATCA